ATTTGATATATTTCTAGATTTCGCAATGCTGCAATTGCAATTATCATCCTAATGGAGGTTATTCTCGTCACAGGAGAATAAGTATCAAAGTAATCTAAGCCTTCTCGTTGTTTGTATCCTTTGATCACAAGTCTGGCTTTATACTTATCAATGGAGCCATCTGCTTTCATTTTCTTTTTAAAATTCCATTTGGACTTTAAAGGTTTACAACCAGGAGGAAGATTCACTAGCACCCAAGTATGATTCTGCAAAATATAATCAACTTCACTTTTTATTACTTCTTTCCATAGAGGTCCCTCAGAAGAATTCATAGCTTCTGCATAATTTAATGGTTCCTTTTCTAACAAATAAGTTAGAAAATCATTTCCAAAAGATTTTTTCACTCTTGCTCTTTTGCTACGTCTCGGTTCTAGTTCATGATCTGAGTCATGAATTTCATGAGCCGAATCATGACTTTCTTCATTCATAGTTTCATTCTTTCGTTTAGATGAACTTGATCCATCATTGGATTTGTAAGGAAATACATTTTCAAAGAATGATGCATTCCTAGTTTCCATGATCGTATTCTTGTGTATATGTGGAATTTTAGATTCATGTACAAGAAATCGATATGTATTACTGTTATGTGCATAGCCTATAAAGATACAGTCCACTGTTTTAGGACCTATCTTTGTCTTCTTTGGTGTTGGAACCGCCACTTTTGCAAGACAACCCCACACTCGTAAGTGTTTGTAGGATGGTCTCCTACCTTTTCATATTTCATAAGGGGTTTTATCCTCTTTCTTTCGAGTTACCTTATTTAAAAGGTAATTGCTTGACAAAATAGCTTCTCCCCACATATTTTGAGGCAAACCTGAATTCAGTAATATCGCATTCATCATTTCTTTCAATGTGCGATTTTTACATTCAGCAACACCATTTGATTGAGGAGAGTAAGGCGCAGTTACTTTATGTATAATTCCGTGTTGTGCACAGAATTTACCAATTGGTACTTCATACTCACCACCTCTATCACTTCTCAATCTTTTAATTTTCTTATTGAGTTGATTTTCAACTTCATTCTTATAGAGAACAAATTTCTCTAAGGCTTCATCTTTGCTTTTAAGCAAATACACATAGCAGTATTTGGTGTTATCATCGATAAAAGTAATAAAATATTTATTACCACCTCTCGTTTGAATGAATTTCAAATCGCAGACATCACTATGAATTAATTCAAGGGGTTCGGTGTTTCTTTCAATTGTTTGAAATGATGATCTCGTTAATTTTGCCTCAACACAAATTTCACATTTATGTTTTGCATCAATTTGGAATGAAGGTATATGTTCCAAGTTAATTAATCTACGCAATGTATCATAATTAACATGTCCTAGTCTACCATGCCATAAATTGGAAGACTCAAGCAAATAAACGGAAGACTTATTATCTTTATTTATAATTGTCATTACATTGAGCTTAAAAAGCCCATAAGATACATATCCCTTCCCCACATACATTCCAGATTTAGACAAAATAACTTTGTCTGATTCGAACACCATACGAAATCCATGCTTGTTCAACAGAGACCCAGAGACCAAGTTCTTTCGAATTTCTGGCACATATAGGACATTATTCAGAGTCAGCTCTTTTCCAGATGTCATCTTCAGCAACACCTTCCCTTGGCCTTCGACAGCAGAAGAGGCAGAGTTTCCCATAAAAACATTTTCCCCATTAATTGATTCAAGATTTGTGAACAAGTCCTTGTTAGAGCATATGTGCCTAGTGGCACCAGTATCAATCAATCATTCCTTCGGATTGGACCCAACTAAGTTTACTTCAGAAATAATTGTAGAAAGGTTTATGTTTGACACGTCTTGAGCGATGCCACTCACCATATTTGTCTCATAATTATTCTTCTTCGGAAGTCTGCAATCCACAGATCTATGCCCCATTTTGCCACAGTTGAAGCATTTTCCTTGAAACTTGTTCTTGGAAACTCCTCCTTTTGGTCCCAACTTTGGTTTGGCAATCTTTTTGTTCTTGTGGCCTTGTCTAAGCTCCACAACATTTGCCTTAGCTGTATTAGGATTGAACCCTTTGCATTCAGATCCTTTATTGTCTTCTTCGATTCGAAGTCTAACAATCAGCTCTTCCAGGTTCATTTCCTTTCGCTTGTGCTTGAGATAGTTCTTGAAATCCTTCCACCCTGGAGGTATCTTTTCAATAATAGTGGCCACTTGGAAGGTTTCACTCAAGTTCATTCCTTCAGCCTGAATTTCATGAAAGATCACTTGAATTTCTTGCACTTGACTGATCACAGTCTTAAAATCCACCATTTTATAGTCAAGGAATCGACCGACAACAAATTTCTTTGCTCCGGCATCCTCTGTTTTATATTTCCGGTCCAAGGCTTCCCATAACTCCTTTGCCATCTTTTTTGCATAATAGACATTGTACAATGAGTCATGTAAGCCATTCATGACATAGTTCCTACACAGGAAGTCAGAGTGCTTCCATGCTTCAACAGCATTGAAGGCTTGCTTATCCGTTTCTCCATCGGATAACTTAGGAGCTTCCTCAGTCAAGAATCTTGCAAGATTCAAAGTTGTTAAATAAAACAACATCTTTTGCTGCCACCTTTTAAAGTTCGATCCGTCGAACTTTTCAGGTTTCTCACCATGGTGGATAGAAACCGCCGAAGGAACAGAGGATGAGCCAGGCAGTTGGACAGCTGAGGCATTGGTAAAGTCTTTGGTGATGTTGTCAGCAGCCACTTCCACAACTTCGTTTAGTTCGGGATGGATTGGTGTGGTTCCTCTACGCCTAGGACACCAGAATATCGAACCATGAACGAAGAAAGGCATGAGAGAAAAGCATATTGACTAGTGATTGTGAGGCCCCAATTCTTGACTGGAGGGGACACCAAAGGCCTCTGCCCTTCCATCCCTTGGATAGATAGAGGGAAGGCAGAGCTTTTGGTTTTTTCATGTTGTCAAAGAGTTGAACAATGAAAATAGATGGCGAATGCAATCGACGAGTCCCACTTTTTCGGTCCTGCAATCGTGTACACGGGATGTGCGCTCGCGCCCAAGTTTCAGCTTGTCGGACGTCGGATTTGCGCCCCCCCTGCGCCTGCGCGCGAGGCATAGTATTTGTGCTATGATAGTTGCCACTTCAAATGAGTGTAACTGTATATAAAGCACTCCATAGCCTTCTTTCTTTTCCAATATGGGACTAGTGTTTTTTCACTTCTCACTTCCAACTTAAGGGTGTTCTTTGAGCATCAATTTCTCATTCATTCACCCATCAATTTATCCCATATTTCCAACACTTAAAACAATTGTTGTACAAGTTATAATCTTATAGATTGAGTGACAGTTGCAGAGGAAATCGGTCTAAAACACATAATTGTGCGGTTGAATACTTCCAGTGCACCTTCAGGGGAATTTCGGCTGATCAAGCAAGCTTAACTAGAATGACGGCTATTGCTTTTAGACGTCACTTTGCTATTGGATTCTCACTCCACACGGGGAGCGTGTATTTATCTGGAGAGATCCATGCGCAGATAACTCTGAAATTTTGCTTTACATCCATGCCTTATCAATTGCATCTTTCCTGATTTTCATTAGTTTCCCGCAGATAGCTCAAGGGATCACCGGGATTCATTGCCTCCATTTCCTGGTGTTTGCCAATTCAGTGAGTTGATTTTTTTCCATTAGTTTGGAAAATATATAATGTAATAATTGCCATAGAGAAAGTAGCGGAAAACCTCCTTTGTTTAGTTGTTCTTTCGCCTTTCTTTGGGTACGTTTTCGAGGCCTTTCCACCTATGTTCCATAAGCTTGAGCCATTGAGAATATTGCTTCGTTGTAATTCGAGAGTTTCGGGCTTACATGTTCCAATTCCCCAGGTTTTTGGTATAGAGGGGATGAGAAGTATTGAGATCATGTAGACAGATTTCCTCTACTCGATTTGATGGACTGGGGTTGCTTCTTTTCTTAAGCTTCGAGCATTTTATGATCGGGTGTGAAAGCTGTTCAAGATATGGCTTCCGAGATGGTGGCGAATTTTGCGTAGAGGCGATGACATGGGCACAGGTTAATTAGTTTGTAATTGACTGGTCTTCTGAATATACGTTCTCTATTTTTCAGTATGCTAAACTAGAGAATAGGGGGAAAGATCAATAGTTGCCCTATTCCAGGGGATTTTGCCTTCGACTATCCCCTCAACAAGTCTATTGAATGGCCGTGCATGAAATAGACTTGAATGTGGGATTTGTCGGTGGACAAAATGTCGACGAATATGATGCAGTCTGCTCTTATGTGATAGTGTCTCACGTTGGATTTACCGGCCTTATTGGTCTCAATGAGCCTGTCGGCTTGGAGTTGGCGGAGTAATCAGAATGGATGGCTTCGGCTAAGTGAAGATACTTGAGAAACGGTCGAGGTAGGATAAAACGCTATATTAAAGTGATCCATGTGAAGAAGCCATAGAAGCTGTTCGCATTTTTAAAACAATCTTGGTTTCCCCCTTTTCCCAATTTGAAAACACGAAAACGATTTATAACTTTTAAAAATAAGAAGGACTTGTATGCGTTAAGGGGCTACACACTCATTCAGGAATGCTTTTGAATTTTCGAACCATTGTTAAGCGGCAACTTGCAATATTTCAGAAAATTTTGTTTTGGTAAATACTCCAAACGATCTAACTAGAAGTGGCCTAATTTTGCACGCCCTAAAGAGTTTAAGAATTTGGCATTCATATATGGCTAAGCCACGTCTGTTGCTGGTTCAAATCTTTTCCATTCAGGACAAGTTGGTTGATTAGGAAAATGAACATTATGATACGTATATGGTTCACCCACTCGAGCACTAACTCCTAGTGCTGTGTGAAGCCATGAACCTTTTGTCAACAACACATGCTAGTGTGTACTCCCTGATATGCATTTCCAGATTAATATTAAATCCCAATAAACTAACATTCACCGAAACAAAGTAGACAAGAATTTTGCTGGAACAAAATGGCTCAATACTCCTGACGTTCCATTCAATTCATTGACGTGTTATTCGACTTCAGAAAACCAAAGATTTATCATAAATTATTTAAGGGCAAGCTACGCATGAGTGGCACATCTCTCCGAGCAAGAATCCACACAACCCGCAACTCTTTTCTCACCTGAGTAACACAAACATGAGCAGAAATGTGAGCTTACAGAGAGAGAGAGAGAGAGAGAGAGAGAGAGAGAGAGATTTATTACCAGGGTTATCCTTTGAACTGAGGTTGATACACGAGGAGGAGGCACATCCAAGCGTGCAGAAGTACTGTGTATCCATAAGGCTGTCTGAAGAAGGAAGTAGACAGTCCTTCAAGCACTTGAAAGCGCACGAGGTCAGAGATTTACCAGGCGTGATGACACACGGGATGAAGCATGTCAGGTAGCAATCCTGAAATTTGGCTCTGGACTGCCCAAGAAACAACCCCAACACAAGACAAACCACAAAAACAGACTTCACTTTGTCCATGTTCTTCTCTTACGATGAGGAAGAATTAGAAGCAACACTGACAATTTGACTAAATTTAGCTGAATGATGGTCCTTTTATGCTCCAACCAAGAGTGCCATATATGGGTTCTTTCACGGCAAGCACAATAGGATAGGGACAAAAATTTTCCTTACATGAAATGCATCATGTTTGTTAAAAATCTCTCTTGATTTTAAGCTCACAAAGGAAACTGGATCGATTTAGGGCCCTGGTTTTAGTGGTTTACTAATTTGAGTAGGATTAATTAATTTGAGTAAGTTTTCTATTTTAATGCAAATATTTTCGAGAAAATTACCAATTTAGTCATAAACATATTTTACGGATTCTAATGTAATCCTTATCATTCAATTATTCCAATGTATTCCTCAATTTTGGCCAAATTCTGGCTAGCTATCTGATGCGAACAAACTGAATGAAACAAGGTAGTTTTCCACAATTTTATGAGTTTTTTCTTTTCTTTATTTTTCTTTTGCGGTTACCGTTCATCTTCATCCTCATTCTTCTTTCCTTTTTTATTTATTCCCTTGCTTCAAATAAGGTTTCTCTTCTCTAGAACATTTAAATACCAGAATCATCTCTAGCCCGATGGAGATTGAAAAAAAAAACGAAAAACGTGAACAATTACTCCAACAATCATTTGTTTCCCATTTCCTCGAATCCCAAAAATCGTATCCCAAAATCTCACTCTTAAATGAAACAGTACAATTTTGCATGATTTTCTGAAGGGCTTTGTATAACGGTCTTTGGGTCGAGAATAACGGCAAGTTGGTGAGCCATAAATTCCTGAAGGAGTGGACTCCACAATAATTTATAATTAATTTTTATTTATTTTTTGTGCTCCACAGCATTGTGTTAATCTCACAATAGATTAAGGGAAAATTCCATTTTGGTACCCAAAGTGGGGTCAAATTCTCAATTTGGTATCCAAAGTGGATAAAGTGTCAAATAATGGTCTGAAGTGCTTAATCAGTCTCAAATAAGGGTCCTAAGTGCCCAAAAAGTCTCAAATAAGGGTCTGGGTCGCCGGCCGGCAAAACATGTCCGCTGGCGGCCAAAAACGGTACTGTTCCGGCACTGGAACAATACTTTATTATATTTTTACATTTTTTTCTTTCTTTTTTCTGTTTTTTTCTTTTCCTTTTCCTTTCCTTTTTTTTTTCTCTTCCCTTTGCCGGCCTCAGGCGGAGGCTGCCCTCGTCGGCGTCGGGCGAGGGCCGCCCTGCCTGGGCGAGCGAGGGTCGCCCTCGCCGAGGTCGGGCGACCCTCACCCGGTTCGACGAGAGCGGCTCTCGCCGGATCCAGCAAGGGCCGCCCTCGCCCGCCCAGCCCTAGGCGGGGAGGGCCTCGCCCGACGGCCGGCGAGGGCGACCCAGGGCGAGGATTGCCCTCGCCGGCGTCGGGCGACGGGCGCCCCCGCCTGGGCTGGGCGGGCGAGGGTGGCCCTCGCCCGACGGTGGAGAGGGCGACCCTCGCTCGACCAACCCAGGTGGGGGCGAGCCGGCGTCGGGCGACCCAGAGCGAGGGTCGCCCTCGCAGGCGTCGGCAACGGGCGCCCCCGCCTGGGCTGGGTGGGTGAGGGCGGCCCTCGCCAGATTCGGCGAGAGCTGCTCTCGCCGGATCTGGTGAGGGTCGCCCTCACCCGACCCCGGCGAGGGCGACCCTTGCCCGCCCAGGCGGGGGTGGCCCCCGCCCGACTCCGGCGAGGGCAGCCTCCGCCTAAGGTCGGCGACCTCCGCCGGAGGCCGGCGGAGGGAAGAGAAAAAAAAAAGAAAAGGAAAAGGAAAAGGAAAAGGAAAAGAAAAAAAACAGAAAAAAGAAAAAAGAAAGAAGAAAGAAAAAAATGTAAAAAAATAATAAAGTACTGTTCCGGTGCCGGAACAGTACCGTTTTTGGCTGCCGGCGGACGTTTTTTGCCGGCCGGCGACCCAGACCCTTATTTGAGACTGATTAAGCACTTCATACCCTTATTTGACACTTTGTCCACTTTGGGTACCAAAATGGAATTTTCCCATAGATTAATGACGGTCACTTAATCAATTCTCTTTTCTGAATATTCTGATTTCCTTCTTTTTTTTCTTTCTTGTGTGGTTACTGTTCATCTTCTCCCTTTTCCTTCTTTCTTTTTTTTTTTATTCTTTTCGGTTTCTGTTTTCTAGAACATTCATATACTGGAATCATCTCTGGCCTTATGGAGTTTGAATAGAATAAGAAAAACATGAACAATTACTTCAACAATCCTTTGTTTCCCATTTCCTCGAATCCCACAAAAATCTTGCTCTTGAATGAAATGATATAATTTTGCATGATTTTTTGAATATTCAGATTTTTTTCTTTTTTTTTCTTTCGTTTATTTTCTTTGTGGTTACTGTTCATCCTTTCCTTCTTTCCTTTTTTAATTCTTTCCCTTGCTTCAAATAAGCTTTCTCATTTTTAGAACATCTAAATACTAGAATTATCTATAGCCCCATAGGCTGAGTTTGGTTGGCCGGATAAAATTATTTATAGGATAAATTTTATGTTTGGAGTGACATGAAATCTGGATATGACCGAATATAACCTAGATATAGTCCAGATAAAAAATCCCACCTAGGGGGTGGGATAAACCCAGATAGGATTTGTAAATATGAAGAAAACTAAATTTCAGAATATCGGCAAAAGCTTCTACTATCCCTGCAACTTTTGCCCTCTCTACCTGCCATCTCTCTCCCTCTTCTTCTTCGACTTGTTTTTGCTCTGTTCACATTCACGGCTCACCCGCCACCACACAAATATATGCAACTCATCATGCATTCGGTGTTTTAAATCAGGAAAAAGCTGAATATCTTTGGAATATATTTGTGAGTCTATTAAAAGAGAAATGGTTAGTATACTAAGATCGATTTATAAAATTAATATATAAGTTATGTGAGATTGTTATTAGTGTTGAAAATAACCCGCTTATTTTTTTACTTAATTGTGATATGTTATTTCACATTTTGAAATAAAGGATGAACCACTAAAATTATTCAAATCCTTGTATTAAAAGGGTGAATACAAAAAAAAGCTACAAACTCAACGCGTGATTAAGATTTTTTAAAACATAAGTACACATTGACTTGTCTATAGGGATGAGGATCTCTATCTCGCACAATATTTCCATGTAGGTTGTGGTGCCATTAGAATTTTAGAGTTCTCTCCCTTTCTCATCGTAATGAGTGCAGCATTGGATTTATAAATGAGAGAGAGGCGTCAATTGAATGCGTCGTCTAAGTATTAATAGAGGACAAAACTCATTCATTTGGTCCGTTAGGATATTATCAGAGTGAATTATAACTGAAGTGAAAGCCATTTAACAGTCCTTCTGTTTTGAGAGTACATACGCAATACCACCGAGAGAGACTCAAGAGAACCAAGTCGGAACTTTGTTAATTCTTTTTCAAGGTGAGACAAAAATTTAAGAGTTGTTGATATATATGGATTGAGTGTAACTTTGGAGGGTCGCAGTTAATCTTTTTGCTCGTCTAAGATTTTATTCAAGCACAGGCCCAAATGGTAAAAAATGGCTCAAATCTTCAAATCCTCTGAGACAGTGAGAAGCAACAATTAGGATGTGGATGGAGACGTGATGAACAACATTTCCATTTCAATCCATTATCACTTTATATCTCCTTCAAGTACCTGACTTCTGCATATCTATAGAATCCTATTGCTGGTAAGCTTTTTGAACCAGTCAAGGCAGCTTCAGAATATAATCGTGGTAATCTGGAGAAAGTAGCCCTTAGTCAAGGTACCTATTACAGTTCTTGTTGGACCAACCTTTCAGACATATGACTTGGCTACTTGAAGCCATGTTTGTGGATTTATGGGATCTAGTCTACGACTACCTCAAATGCATTTTTATAGCTTAGTGCGGATCATTTGAAGATTCAATATTGCTAGTCATTCATGAACCAAAGGCAGTGGTGAATCTGGTTATTCATATAAGTCATTCCCAAATTACGTAAGTTTCCCGAGCAGCAGCAACCCATATCATCTTTGGCTGTCTTTGTGAGAAGCTCCTGGAAATACTTGTGTTGTTTGTCCTACATGCAGGAACCTGGAGCAGTGAATGTGCTCAGACTTCATCTTGTTTTAGTAGGATCCGAGTGAAAATAGTTGGCTCGGCAAGTTGTAGGACTTGATCACAAATTGCAGAAACATTTCAGGACTTAAAACAATTGTTGTACAAGTTATAATCTTATAGGTTGAGTGACGCTGCAGAGGAAATCGGTCTGAAACACTTAATTGCGTGGTTGAATACTTCCAGTGCACCATGAGGAAAAATTCGGCTGACTAAGCAAGCTTAACTATAATGACAGCTACTGCTTTCAGACGTCACTTTGCTTTTCAATTCCTACTCCACATGGGGAGCACGTATTTATCTCGAGGAGATCCATGCGCTGATAACTCTGAAATTTTGCTTGACATCCATGCCTTAACAATTGCATCTTTCCCGATTTTCATTAGTTGTACCGCATGTAGCTCAAGAGATCACCGGGATCCATTGCCTCCATTTCCTGGTGTTTGCCAATTCAGTGAGTTGATTTTTTTTCCGCTAGTTTGGAAAATAAATAATGTAATAATTGCCATAGAGAAAGTAGCGGAAAACCTCCTTTGTTTAGTTGTTCTTTCGCCTTTCTTTGGGTACGTTTTCGAGGCCTTTCCAACTTTGTTCCATAAGCTTGAACCATTGAGAATATTGCTTCGTTGTAAGTCGAGAGTTTCGGGCTTACATGTTCCAATTCCCCAGGTTTTTGGTTTCGAGGGGATGAGAAGTATTGAGATCATGTAGACAGATTTCCTATACTCGATTTGATGGACTGGGGTAGCTTCCTTTTCTTATGCTTCGAGCATTTTATGATCGGGTATGAAAGCTGTTCAAGATATGGCTTCGGAGATGGTGGCGAATTTTGCGTAGAGGCGATGACATGGGCACAGGTTAATTAGTTTGTAATTGACTGATCTTCTGAATCTACATTCTCTATTTTTCAGTATGCTAAACTAGAGAATAAGGG